TATAGTCCTTTCCTTCTTGGGTTTCTGAATGAATGATTACAGAAAAGAAGTGCTTAAACTATGCGTAAATCAAAAAAATGCTTAAAGATTTAATGAAATACTTTCTCTACAAAGTCCTCTTGTGTTTCCTGATTGCTAAGGAACCATTATGCAGTCATTTTTTATGAAATTTTCAGTACGTGGAACCTGACCTCTTAACTGTTGAGAAGTTTGCTGGATTGTGACCTTCTTTCCTTGACCTTTAAACTAGAACTTTATAATTCGAAGGCTCCACCCTAGACTGAAAATTATTCCTCTTTTCACTTGTAATGCTGTGCACATTTCTGCTGGCATTGTATTACTTGCTTTCCAAGACAGGTCAGTTCTAGATCTCCTTACTGTTTAAAAACATGCTTTATCGTGACAGTCAGCCAAGTCTGGGTGGAGGAAATGGTTTATACAGTGCTTAGTTTTAACTAAATACTTTTTAGGTTATGTCAGTGGAATTCATAATCAAGTTAATTAATGCTATTCATGAGCATTTATCAAATTCACAAGAATTTTCTCAGATTAACAGGTATAATATAAGTCATAAAGAACATTATTCAAATTGTTAATAAGAAGAAAAATTTAAATTTGAAGACTATTCCTAATTTATCCAAAATTCTTGTTTCTTCACTTTTTTTGATCTCCCACTTCACATTTTAGATGTTTAGTTCTAGTTTTGTATAAACATTATCTGAAATAAGGAATAGACAATTAGAAAAATGACTAAAATGTACCAAATCAGTTTTTTCATTTTTTTGAAGAAAAAAATTGAACTTTTGAAGATTTCATTTGTAAAATTGACTCTGTAAGCAGTGTTTAAATTCATTGGTGATAAATATGCATGTTGGTATAGTAAAATTCCACTTTTTACATAATGCTTTAATGGAAATGGCAGTTTTATGAAATGAAAGTGACTAGTAAAAATCTGAATGATGCTCATAAGCCCTTACATCATTTTTATGGAGGTTTTTGTATATTCTAATTCATTAATACAGGGGGAAAGGAGACTGCTAACATGGTTTATTTCCTATAATTACTCAAATCAAATAGAATTTATTTTCAGTAAAATTCTTAGAGTAAATTGCCTGGGGTGGGGAGAGGAGGGTTGGCCTGTTTTTACAAAATATCTTGATTTTTACTCATGAGGCTTTGCTATTTGCTAGTGGTTGTGTTCACTTGTGTATATTTTCAGTGTAGTTCCCTCCAGAATTTTATAATAAAAACCTGTGTGAGCCCAAGAGATCTCCTAACACTTAAAGGTCCAGGACCGACTGTTGAGGGAGAAATAAGGGATATTTGTTTTATCTGCTTATTATTAGAAATACTGTTTGCCTCTTAATAATTTTTAGACTACCTTTTATGTGGTTTATGTAGGTTGAAACATTATCTGCATTGCTATGTAATGTATTAACTGGGGGAACTTCCAAGAACAGCTTAGTGTTTACTGTTAAATTTGGTTTATTTTTCTGAAATACCTAGAAGAGGAGGTCAGTGTAAGGAATAAACAGATACTTAAATTTCTTCCCTCTTCCCCCTTCCTGTGGCCGGGTGTGAAGGAAGGGACACTAGAAATTGAATTTGAAACAAGTATTCTGAATTTCATCACAGTGCAATCTTGCCAACAACCTTATTTTCTGCTCTCAGTATACTTAAAACCACTTTAGAAAAATCTGTGTTTTCTCAGGTGGGTTTGTGGGCCATTGTAACTTGGCATTCTGGTGTGAAGGTGCTTCTATGTTCTTGAGGCAGAATTTTGTTAAGACTTAACTTGAAGCTTATTTCTGGAAAGCTTTAAGGCCTAAGAGTTTTCAAATCACTTTCAAACTGTCAGTGAGTACCTTTCCCCCCACTCTAGGCTTGAAAGCTCACTCCTTTCCAGGTGTCTCTGTGTAGACACAAGTTTTTGTCTTGTTTTCTTCTCCCTTTATCCCGGCATTGTGGGGCTGTTTGAGCTGGAGCTGCGGTTGAGCTGGAGTTCTTGTGACTGTGATGGGCAGTTTTTATAAGAGGGCCAGGGAATGTGTATACATGATTGTGCCCATGTGGTTTGTGTGCTTTGGTGTACGCGCGTGTGTGTGTGTGTTTAATTGTGTTCTTTGACCCCAGGAAACCAGAGTTGTGTTGAGCTATTTTTTTCCTTTTACCCTTGATGAAGTGATCTCCACACTAAGCAAGCTCGTGGGAGCTCAGCCTTTTTCCAGCTGAGTCCAGCGTGGGTCAGACTGCATGGCTGCAGAGTGGGAAAGGGCAGAGCCGGGGAGCACTGCTGCCGCCCTAGGCCCCCACACACCGCCTCAGCACCAAGTGTCCTGTTTCTCCCTTGATGCCAAGAGCTTGATGTGAGGATGGCGCATGTCAGCAACTGGCTCTTCCTTACTGTGACTGAAAATCTTCTTGGGCCACAGCGTACCTGCTCTCTTGTGTAAGCTTTTAGTTTTCAGTAAGGACATGACTTAGAAAGTAGAGAGAGGGTTGTTTGTGATGGATCAGTAGGTGAGATGCAATACCAAAGATGCCTTTATCCACATCTGGACACAACTGCACCTAGAAAATGCCTCCCTGGCTTGGCTTCCAGCCTGACTCCCAGAGAGCCAAAGGCAGGGCTTATTGGAAAAGTTAAGCAAATGGAGAAATTCTCTTTAGGCATTTCATTCTTGAGGGTGTCATGCCCATGGAATGAGAACGTTTAGTATAAGTAACTCCCAAACAGTGAATGATCTAGTAATATCGTTGGTTCTGCTATAATGTGACATGTATAGTCCTAAAAATCTCCAGACTCTACAAAATAGTACAATAAAAACCATGGGACTTGTGAAGGGGAAACCAGGTCAGGTGCCCAACACTCAAACTTTTGTCATCACTCCCCCCCCACACACACACATAGAAACCTAATAAAAGCAATAGAGCAGTTTTATGCACAATAAATGGGTAGGGAATACGTAAGTAGTACAGTGAATATGACTCTGCTTTGAAGACAGACCTGGAGTTTGCCTGTGAAAGTGGGCATCAGTTTGTGTTACCACGAAGTAGGGGGAGGAGGGTTTCCTCAGAGGGAAAGTTGTAACACCAGGTATGGGTGGGGGTGGCTCCTAATTCACAGGTGAACTGAGGTATCCTGGTAGGAAGCTGAGGTATGTCTGTGTGTGTATTTTATGTATTTCTAGCAGCTTGGTTCAGCTGGATGCAGTTTTGTATGTTCACCTAGTGTTCCTTGCAGACAAAATGACACGTAAGCAAATGTGAAATTTGTTTTATGCTCAGATTGTCTCCCTAATATGCACATAATACATTGGAACAAATTCATTTTCAAAATAAGCTTTATAGCAGAACTAGCTGAAGCTTATTTGATTTTGGAATTGAGTCCCTTTTCCTTGCCTCCTTTCCATCATTATTGATTTATTAATTTATACTTAAGCCCACATCAAATTGATTTTTCATACCCTGAGCACCTCTTAGAGGAGAGAAAACAGCCTGAGATTTTAATTTTGCTAGTGGTAATGCACAAGGTAGTTTCCTCCTTGAATGACTCTGTATGTCAGATACAGATACTGATCTATTCCCTCCCTCTGTCCCTCCCTCTCCCCGCTCCCCACTCTCCTTCTCTCTCTTTCTAAGACCTTTACGAGATGCCAGGCAAGGTGCTAGAGATACAGAAACTGGTAAGGTACCATCCTTGTCCTCAGGAGCTTAGGGTCTCATTGAAAACTTTTCAAGGTGCAGGTTTGCATGTCTTTGTTGGGTTGTCTTAGGAAGCAGATGAACCCCCATTATGTGTTTCTTAGTTGTGAACACAGGCACCTCCCCACCCCATCTCCTACTTCTTTTAAATGTATAAAGATAGGGGTAAAGAGCTTGCCTGGAGGAAACAGAGATAAACTGATTTACCTGGTGAAAAGGCGTAAATTTGAAAAGGATTAGAAGGACCTATGAGGTCTTAAATTTCAACCCTCCCACAAGACTGGTAACCTAGTGGCCCGGGGTCCCCTGTAGCTTGATAAATGAAAAACAAGTTGCAGAGTGCTGTGAACAGAATGGTCCCGTTTGTTGCCCTCTTCTCCCTCATGTGTGTGTATGCTCTGTGGGTGTAAGCATAGAAGATGTGGAAAGAGTTCCCCTATCATTAATATTAGTTACCCCAGGGGACAGGGAAAGCTTATTAAATTCCTCTTTATACATCTTTTATTGTTTGGCATGTTTTAGGAAGCATGTTTTACTTTTTTAATTAAAAAATCTAATAAAGTTGAAAATGAATAAATAATAGTAATAAAAAATACGCTCAGGGCACTGAGCTTTGTTTCAGTCTTCCTAGTAACTTGGGTAGTTAAAACAATGTGATGTTTCAGGTGTGGGCTGCCTGGCAGGGCTCCGGGCGTGTTGTAGCTTAAGATGGTATTAACTTTTCTGGTAGCAGTGCTGTATTGTTGGAAGTTTGTGTGTTTATAGATCATTAACACCTCAAATCACATCTGCTATTCGTAGCACATTCTGCCCTTGATAATCATTTTGGATCCGAGTGTAGCTCTTCGCATTCTCCCTGTTGGATTTCATCTTGTTATTGTGGAAATCGCTATTTAGCAGCATAGGTTAAGAACTGGCTTTGTAGGCTGCCTGGGTACAGATACTAATTACTAGTAACCAGCATGAAAATTTGGACAAGTGACATGTCTTCTTCCCAAGCCTCAGTTTTCTCTTCTGTAGAACAGCAATAATCATAAAGTCGTGAGATTTCAGTGAGATACTTACGTGAGCACACTGACAGGGGCCTTGCGGCCCGGCGAGAACACGGTGAGCTTCAGCTGTCACTGCGAGCCTTCATCTCAGGTCATCGCTCCTATCCACAGTGAGATAATTTCGGATCTTCAGTCTTCCCTTAACCATATTCCATATCCCTCTTGACCCCAGACCATAATTCACTTAGAAGTCTTCTAAACTTCCACATGAGATCCCCAATCAGTCTCTGTCTCATTCTGCAGGTCCCTTCACCGATGTTGTCACCACCAACCTAAAGCTTGGCAACCCGACAGACCGAAATGTGTGCTTTAAAGTGAAGACCACAGCACCACGTAGGTACTGCGTGAGGCCCAACAGTGGGATCATTGATGCAGGGGCTTCGATTAATGTATCTGGTAAGTCCTGAGACTGGAGGCCAACAGGGTGGGCTAAAAAGGCCCCCTGAAACCAGCGGGGTTTCTTAGAGCTTGTGTTTGCGTATAGCAAATAAGGCAATAGACTTCTCCCACCCTTCTACCCTCTGATTAAAAAGCTCAGTGGGTCCCACTCACCTGTTGTTTTTCCATAATTAATGCTTCCTTGGTTTAATGCTTACAGCCTTTGCACCTCAACAGTTAGAGCAAAATTAAAGCGGTAACTTCAGACTTTACCTGAGAATGAGTTTGGTTTTCACTCCCTTGAAATTAAATCTGCCCTTTGGCAATAAATAACAAAGGGCTAAACAAACTTAACTCCATTTAGCTTTCACCCACAAAGTAAAATTATTTTTTTATTTAAGCTAAATTATTTCTGACATTAAGCTCATGTCATTTCTAATGATTGGTAACTGCACTTTACTGATTGTGAAAAGCTTAGGGAGAATAGGGCTGAGGAAATTGGAATATATTCAAGGGTGTAAGTTTTATGCATGTCTGATGGATTTTTCCCCTTCTGTCTGAGGGTGCGTATATTTTCCAAAGTCCAACTTTTGAAAAGATGCTGGTGAAGTGCCCAAATTGAGAATTGGATTTCAGAATTACGAAGTTGTAAGTGATGGCTTCGAGTTTGAATGCATTTTAGAAATGGAAGAAACTTATAGCTCATTAGAACTTCTGGATTCAGTAATGCTTTTGTGTTTGTGGAGAAGCTATGGGGAAGTATGTGTTTATCCTTTAAGTATCAGGAGACTGTGTCACAGAGGATTCTGCTTCATTAGAAGCTACAAACTACTACTCATTTGAAATTGATACCTGGCTGGCTTTTTCCATGACAGAATTTGACTGTGATACATTTGGCTATTCATTCGACATCTAAAAGAAAGTGATTCACCTCTTTGGAAAGCAGCTATAAGGTGATTCATTATCTGATCATTTTTGCAGACTCTTGTTCCCTGCATCCATCGGTCTCTCTAATTATGGTGCACCCACACCAGCAGTCCCCCTGTGCACTTCTCTCTGAGGCTGCAAGACTTGATCTGGACTCTTGAATTGGGTTGTTATCTGGGAGAAGTGAGGAGAGTGGGAGCCAACATTTATCAAGGGTCTTCTATGTGCTGGGCCTGTGCACATATCATTTCCTATTTCTGTTACCTGCCCGGTGAGGAATGCATCATTACCTCCATTGTACTCAAAAGGAGACCAGTGGCTGTAGGCTCACAAAGTCACCAAGGTGTGGATCATTCTGTCTGGCTTTGAACAGAAGCACGCTGGAGAAAGGGACCCAGGATGTTGACATTTCTGTACGCCTTGAATCCATATGGTTTGTTTTTCTGTTGTAATTGAGGCAGCCAAAATTTTTTGTTCCCTTTCTTTTATTGACTTGTTTTCCTCTTGATTTCCTTGCCCATATCAAATTTGAGGAAGCTTGTCAGTAGATGAGATTTACCAGTTTTCACAGTAAATACAGGGGCAGCAACATAGTTTTGTGAATAAAATAGCCTCAACAGGCAGTTATACATTGTAGGTGTATTATCTGATATTAAATATAAACATGTGTATCTCTTTTGAAAAGATTTATCCCTCTTCCATTTCAGTAATGTTTTTTAAAGTAATAACTATAAGCATTTGTTTTGATTTATGATTACCTACTTGAGGAGGAAGACCAAGATTTTGTGGTTGTGGCCTTCCTTTTGCAGATAAGAAGGTACAGAGAGGAGGTATGGTTAGCTAGGGCCACATGGGTGTGATTAGTGGCATAGCTGGTATTTGAAGTCAGGTGTCTTGCTCCTGATCCAGTGGCTCTTCTGCGATATTAAACTGCCTCAACAATATGAGGGGATGGCTCCACTTACAAATGAATATAAAGCATAAATAAAGTATCTCAGTGCTTGAGGTGTGCCTGGGTGAAGCCAGATGTCATTGCATTTCCGAGACACCTTCACCAGTTGGCAAAGGAGGCTGGCACCCATTTGCTGCAGTTGCATGTGCTGAGGGGCCACTGTATCATTGATTAGACATTCATATCTTGGGATAAAAAGCTCTGCTTTTTCAAAGGTTCCTTTTAAAATGCAGCTACATGAGTAGCTTGGTGAGTACACAGAGTTCCCAGGTTCTTTTGCAAAAAGAATATCCTCTGGAGAAGAAAGATACCAGCAGACAGGCAGTGCAGATTGTCCAGGGGCCAGCCTTCCCTTCTCCCCAGGTGTACACATGGCCAGGCTTGGTCTCACCCACTCTACTCAAACATCACTGGATTTGGGGTCTGGAAGCCTGAACAGGAAGCCCCACAATGCTGTTTAACCTGTTTGCTGATTTTTGGCCAATCCATTAACCTCTCTTCAGTTCTAGTTTCTTATTTGTAGAATGGAGAAGGGTTATCTGCCTCACAGAGTAACACCGTTGCTCTTAGTTGAAGGCATGACACAAGAGTGGGGTGCGTGGCTCTTTTGCTAGCTTTGGTAGAGCTGGCTAGCTTTTGTTGCAGGCAGACTGTATGTATTTAGAAATAAATTAATTCCATATATTTTATTAACTTACAGACTTTCTCATTTTAAGAAATTCGTGTTTTTTCTTCTTTCTATAATAGGCATGTGTGTTATAGTGAAAAGCTGCTAGTAAATTTTCAAATACAATCTATAAAAAGGTGGCCATCAGATCAACTTAGAATACTACCAGCATTGCCCTGCCTACCACACAGGGTGTCACAGCATACCCGAAAAGGACACAACCAGAACATTTCTCTCCTATTTCTGAAACCCCGTGGGATGTGCAAGCTGTAAGGGAAGGTTATAAATCACTCTTTGAGAGGGGCACGGGGAGAGAGAGAAAAAGGAGGAGCAGGAAGAGGAGAAATAAGGGGGGGTGGGGGGGAGAAGAGATCCACCCTGAGCTGGACAGAGGGACTGAGGTTTTGAAAGCACACAAACCAGGGTTGTGATGGGGAAGCCGGACTTGCCAACTGGTGGATGTCTTTCAGACCTACCATGTGAAACCCTTCTCAGCTTTTAGGTTAACCTGATATTCAAGAGACCTTACATTTTGCTTGAAAAATCCAGACTCTGACCTATAATGTTACTTTCTTCAGAAGATGGCAGATCACTTACTGGGTCCTTAAGAAAAAAAACAAACCTCTGTCTTATAAATGTAGGTGGTAAAATAAACACCTGTAAACAGGCATAACTGAAACTCTCATGTGTGGCCTCCCCAGCTGGGTGTGTCAGGATCTGATCACTTAGGTCTGTGCTGAGTCCTTTTCTCTGTCCTTCGAAAGGATGCTCATCTCATCTCATTCTTAGCAGTAGCTGCTTCTGGGGTCCGCTCCTGTTAGGTGGAGCAGTGCAGGAGGTGAGGAGTGTGGGGTGTTTTCTGTTCGTACTAATTGGCCCAGAATGCCATGCTGTTGGACCTTTGTTCCTTGATGCACACCATCTACTAGACGTGGTTTTGAATTATTCAGATCTGGACCTCAGCAAAATAGGCACACTTAAATGGAGATTGGAGAAGAGGAGATTGGATTTTTCTTCCCTGAGAGATTTTAAATGCAAGGAAAATAGAACTTTTTGAATTAATGAATTGTTTGAAGCAGTGGGGGGTCTTCCCATTTGTTCTAGCTTTGCAAAATTAAATCTATTTTCTGAACTGTCTGGTGGGAAAATATTTTTAAGGTAGATAATTTCTGAAAATGTCTTTGTAGTAAGCTGTTAGTAGCTGTGGATTTTTTTTTTAATACCTCAGTTTAATTATGAGGGTATTTTCTACTAATATTCCAAACCATGTTTGCCAGCTGATACAGCAGGTGAAGTGGTAAAATTATGGGCCCATCAAAAATACTTACGCTTCCTGTAATATATTAAGTTTAATATTTTTATAACTTCCACTGAATTCTAATTTCACTACCATAGCATGCTTCCATTTGAAGTTCAGTTATGCACATTGGTTGCCTGTATACCAAGCAAATTAGAAATGCAAAATATCTGTGTTGGGGGGACATTGCAAAGAGACGTTAAAGATAACCAATATTTAGGTATAGATACACTTTACTAAGTGTATCCTCGGAACTGAAAATGGATTAGAGACAAACAAATCTTCTAGTGTCTGAATCTGTATTTTTTTTATGAGAGGGCATCTCTCATATTTATTGATCAAATGGTTGTTAACAACAATAAAATTCTGTATAGGGGACTCAATGCACAATCATTAATCCACCCCAAGCCTAATTCTCATCAGTCTCCAATCTTCTGAAGCATAACGAACAAGTTCTTACATGGTGAACGAATTCTTACATAGTGAGTAAGTTCTTACATGGTGAGCAGTGCAAGGGCAGCCATCACAGAAACTTTCGGTTTTGATCACTCATTATGAACTATAAACAATCAGGTCAAATATGAATATTCATTTGATTTTTATACTTGATTTATATGTGAATCCCACATTTCTCCCTTATTGTTATAATTATTATTATTTTTAATAAAATGCTGAAGTGGTAGGTAGTTGAATCTGTATTTTAAATTAAAATTCAGAGAAATAAAAAGCGGTGTTCATTCCTGACATATAGCCCCTTTCAGCACTTATTCAGTCACATTTAAAGCATAAAGTTCTGCTGGTAAGCTCTTCAGGACCGAGAATGAATATCAGCAACCTCCTGGGATGGAAACACTGGTCAATTAATGTAATTGGGTACTGTTGCAATTGATAATTAATCCTTTTAAGATTTTGCTGACTTGGTTTAAAGAAGCTGCTTGCTTGCCCTGGACCAGCCAACCTCGGGCTGCAGCTTTTAGGTGATTAGCACCAGAGCGTGAGTGCACTGCCCTTAGAGAAAGAAGTCGGGCATTCAGCTGCCAAGTGCTGGCAGTGGGAGCTCAGTGTGGGGGGTGTGGGCATCTTAGCAGCCACATTCTTCTTCGTTGGCTCATTTGCTTTGTCAGTCTCTGGTAAGTGAGATCTTTTTGGAAATTGTTTTCATGAACTAGGTTTAT